TTTATAATTGGCTAAAACTTAATTTATTCTCAAAGTCTCTAAAATTTTGTGGTACAAAACTAATTAATACATCATAACCATTAGTTTGAACATTTAACCTTATTTTATACACTATTAAGACATATTCATAAATTTTAGAGTGTTTCTGATTTAAAAATGTGTGTTTTACAATTTGATTATTCACAGGACGTACGAATATCTAATAAATTTTATTTCTGATGTAAAAATTGAAATAAAATTGATGCATCTATTTAGTAAAGCTGGTTAGTTGGGTGGGTTTAAAAGTAATTATGTAACATTCAAATTGATAACTATCGTTTGCAGATTTGTGAAAGATTTCCTTCGTCTTATTCCATCAAGTGTATATAAATTTTTTTTTTATGTCTTTTAACTCCCTTTATATTCTTATAAATTGTAATTTGAATGTCAAGATTTATGTAGAATTTTCTTTGAAATAGGTAAAAGAGTAATTCATAAATTATTGTCGTGCTTGCTTCAATTCATTTCTCAGAGAAAAAATATATATATATATTTGCAATGGAATTCACATTCTTAAAAAATAAAAAGTAGCCAACCCAATTAAATTATTTTACCCAAAAAATAATTTAACAAAAACACTTTATAATTAATTTAACCAACAAAATTAAATTAAACATTCTTTTAGTATACATTAAGGAATAAAAATTATTGAACTAAATGATTTTGTGAGGTTTTATTTCTAATTTATTTATTACAATGATTATATAGCATATATAATAATATCTAAAACCAATAAAATATTTTACATTAAATATTAAACTGATTTATCTTGTTTATTTATTTTTTATTCTAGATATTATACATTTTAATCTTTCGTGATTTATCACACGTGCATCATTTTCATATATAGTTAACTTATCAGTACAAAATAATTATATGAAAATTAATTCTAAAGTAGTATCAAATAAATATGGTAACATTTATTGTATAAGTGTTATCCATCACATAATTTTATACACATGACATTGTATTTTTGGAAACTTTTATGTAATTATTATAACATAAGACATGGGTACTAATAATGTATTGTGTACGGTGGTTGTATTAATAATTACACATCATCCGTAATTATCATATAATAATTACACCAATTATTTTATTATAAAAATGTTAAAAAAAATAACATGTTTTCCATTAAGAATCAAAAGATATCATATCATTAAAAAGACATAAAATTAAGTTAAAATACTAATTAAAAAAGTTATAATTATAAAAAATGAAATTACCAATTAATCCAATAAAAACTGTGGATAATATAATATCTAATATATAATAAAGAATATTAATCAAACATTAAAATATAATTATTACTTAACGGAGACAAATTGACTCCGTTTAATAAATTATTAGCCGCCCTCTGTATGAAAAAAAAACCCTAACTAGTTTTTGTTTTTCTCTGATTCCTCTTTCTTTCTCTCTATCCAAACAAAACAAAAATGGATTTTGATCCCTCTGAGAACACTGGAAGGGTAAACACGTCATTTCGTGATAATAAATAAAATTNGTTAAAAGACATCTCCTGTCGGATTAGGTTTTTCTTTCTTTAAACTTATTTCATAGAGCTGGCATTTGGTCCAGCTAAATTCTTCTTTTCTTTTCTTGTATGGTGGTCTGAGAGGGTGGGGGGTTGAGGAGGTGAGGTTCCAGATCAGAAATGAATTAAAGTATGGAATTTCTCTTTCAAAAGGGAAAAAGAATTAACAGTTTCTTGTCGTTGTTGAATTTCTCCCTCAGCAATTTGCAAATGGTCATCCTTTTCTTTTCTTTTCTTTTTTGAGAAGATTGAAAATTTTAATTTCGTTTTGTGAAACCTAGTTTGTCTTGATTTGTTCATTTTGTTGAACTTTTCTTTGCCGGTGGTAAATTTAATGCTAACTTATTGTTCTGTGGTTTAAATGCTGGTTTATGTTGAATCTAATTGGCAGTTTGATGGAATAAGAACATTCTCACGTGAATTGTAAATTATAGGCACTACAGAGGATGGCTTGTCGAGGGTGCCTGGAGTGCTTGTTGAAGTTATTGAACTTCTTCTTGACTCTTGTGGGGCTGACCATGGTTGGTTATGGACTCTACTTGTTTGTAGAGTATAAGAGGGCAGCCAGCGATACCCCTACAATTTCACCAGCGAGTGGCGACGAGGATTTGGTACAGCTGGGTCGGCCCATGCTTATGGCTGTGGCTCTTTCAGCTAGTATTTTGGATAATCTGCCAAAAGCTTGGTATGGCTGCTATTCACATTTGTTATCATTCAGCTACTTTTGTTCATTATGTATGCTTTGTGTAGAATTTGTATATTCGTAAACTATAAAATAGATAGCTGTTATTTAAATATCTTTTTTATGTTTATGTGTTTTTACGTGATCTTTACATGGAGTAAGCTTACTTTGCATTATGATCTCTATAAAGAAGACTTCAATTGCCATTTTTGATGAAAGGGTGAAGTGATATTTTATTTTGAGAAATTCTTAAGGTAGGTTGACAACTCTATGAAACTTTGTCCTGATGGCAGATTTTGGTTTCAAGTTTTGTTATCCCAGTTAATTTTTAGGATATGTTGCATTTCTTCTGGCTTTAATTAGCTAGATATTCATTATTGTGTCCTCAGCCTATACTTTCTTCATTTACTTATTATGCAATTTTATTCTTAAGAGAGTGGACCCTTTAAACAAACTTAGTTTCGAACTTGTTTCAGTTCATAATCTTTAATACTTACAGAAGCATTTATGATATGATTTTTTTTGTGAAGTTTATGAGTTTTATGAGATTACTGTCATCTATTTACTATATTTGACTAGTGCGAGGCAGTTCTGTGATTTTATTTATTTCTCTCACTTTTCTATAATCGTGAGCTGCTGCCACTAACAAACTTGGCTGTAATATCCCCCCACCCTGGGTTAAAATAACATATAACTTATACATTTGATTGACTTTGTTAATTGATTTGAGGCATTCACCTTCTCCATACTTTCTAGTTGTGAATATTTCAACCTTCCTTTCTTTTTCTCTGTTGTGTTTGTTTCTTGTGAAAAGTATTTGTACATATTCCAATACATACTAGGTGCTCTCGGGCATATTGGCTTACAGTTTTTGGGTTAAGGATTCAAGTACCTAAAAAGACAAATGCTTTGGGTATGATGTCTTTTGGAACAATGAGCTCTAATTTTTGTGCATATGTTGGTGCAGGTTCATATACCTATTCATTGGTATGGAGTCATTGTCTTTGTTGTCTCATGTTTTGGATGTGTGGAGCTGTTTCACGGAATGGATGCTGCTTGTCTTGTGTATCCTGGTTACTTACTACTTGTTTAACTATTGTTATATATGTAGTTCGTCCACAACATTCTTAATTTTTGATGAAAATGTCATGTTTATATTCCTAAAGGAAATTGAGAATCTCATGTTTATAACTCTTAGTATTATAACATGCATAAATAATGGATTTTATACTTTAAGTGATGTAGGACAAGATAGGGTTATTTGCCTACTAAGAAACTGGGGAAAAAGCCTAGATGTCACACCTTGGCTTCTTAGGCATCACACCTAAAGGTTGATTGAATTACACAATCAATTTTGAAATATTTTCAAAAAATTATTATTGAAGACTTGGATGATTAGTAAGTGAAATTGCAAAGTAATTTATAATAATCTTTAAGTAACTTTTCCTAAGTAGAATTAAACTAGAAAATAGTAATATAATTAAGAAGATTACTCATAATACAAATAGAAAATAATACTAGTTAAAATAAAGTCTTAATTTTGATATAACTCTTAAATAATAAACTAAAAATACTCCAACAATAAATAAAATCTTATGACTATGCGCCATCAATTCTCCTCAGGCTGGCAGGGGGTTTAAAGACTCGGCTCCGTCAAGTTGAATTTATAAACTGTGATGTGCATGATATGCTTTAGCCTTTAGAGGTCAGAATAGGGGATAGACTCTTTTGGAAGTAGATAATAACGTTGGTGTCGAAGTGCTTGGATGATGGCATAAATTTTTTTATTTTATGTGGGATCCCTCTATTTTGAATCATTAAGCTTCTTATTTAAGTAGGCTATTGGGTATCCTTCCTGACTAAGTATGCCTCTAATGCCTACTTGAGACACATCACAAACCACTTTAATTACCTTGGAGAAGCTTGGGAGATATAATGCTGGTGCTTTTGTCAGTTTCTTGTTGATGATTTCAAAAGCTCTAAATGGTGTTTTGGTCCAAACAAATTTCCCATTGGTCATGCAGTTTGTAATGGGTGTCATACAATGCTAAAGACTTCAATAAACCTTACGTAAAAAGATGCCAACCTGTGGAAGCTTCACACTTTATGTAAGGTCTTGGGAGTTGGTATTCTTGGATAGCTTTAGCATTTTCTGGATCAACTTTTACGCTTTTGGAAAAGGTGAAAAATCCCAGGAACATAATACTTGTTGCCATGGATGCGTATTTGTTGTAAATGAAAGACGCGTTCTTCCTTAGATTTATTGAAGGTAAGAATATCATCAAAATAGATAACAAGAAATCTCCCATTATAAGCATGGAAGGCTTGGTTCATGAAGCTCATGAAGGTACTTGGAGCATTAGACAGTCTGAATGGCATGACTAACCACTTATACAAACCATCTTTGTTCTGAATGCTGTTTTCCATTCGTCGTGTTGCCTTACACAGGTTTGGTGCTATCCACTCTTTAAATCAATGTTAAAAAAGTATTTCGAGCCTGCCATGAAATCTAACTTGTCACTAAGATGAGGTATGAGAAACCTATACTTGACGGTAATCTTGTAAATTGTGCGACCATCAGCACACATCCTCCAGGTTCCATCTCTCTCGGGCGTAAGTAATGTTGATACAATACACAGGCTTAAACTTTCTCGTATAAGCTTTTTACACTGTAGTTCATCAACTTGTCTCTTAAGCTCAGCATGTTCACTTGGCTTATATTGTATATTGGTAAGTTATGCAATTGAGATCCAGGAACTAAGTCAATTGCATGTTGAATGCTATGAAGTAGAGGAAGTCCATTTGGCAAGTCTAGTGGAGCAATATTAAAAAAGTCATGCATTAGTATAGTCACTTCTGGTGGTGTTCTTTTTGTTGAACAAACTAGTGGTTGCTTCATCTCCCGATTTACTATTGTATAAACAACTTTTGTTTCTTTGTTTTTCGCTTCGAATTGCATTCTTGACAAAAGATGAAGTTGTTTCTTTTGATTACCCATTGCAATTTTTGTAGTCTTATTGGCTTTGAAGTTTCTAATATTTTTTGTGCTCATGGATTCCAAGAAAATGTCTTGTTTTTCCTTAGAAAAAGAATATGTGTTTTCTTTTCCATTATAGTGTACATTGCGATCATATAGGCAAGGGCAGCTAAGGAGAATGTGAGTTACTAGCATGGGAACAACATCACATAAGACGGCATCTCTGTACTTACCACATTGGAAAGAGAGAAGACATTTTTGAGTTACTAGAATTGTTGTATCATCGATCACGCTACCTTTTATGGTTGTGGATGTGATTTTATGGGAAGCTTGAGACGTTCTACAGTTGAAGTTGACACTACATTCATGCAACTCCCCTATCGATGACAAGCTTTTTGGCATTTGGTCCACAAATGACATAGGTTTGAAATATAGTAGTATGATGGCATCTTTTTCCTCAAATTCAGATGTTTCAAGTATAAGTTTGACCACATATGTAGGGGAAGTGTCCAGTTGATAGTCGTCATCAACTACGTCATCATCGTCAAGAGAAATATCATCATCCCTATCTGTTGTATTATCTTCTTTTTCATCTTCCTCCATTGCAATATACAAGTTATTTTTTTGAGAGCATTGATAACCCATATAGCCTGGCTTTCCACACCTGAAGAAAACTATTCCATTGTCCTTATGTTAGGAGCTGATTTTTCTTAATCGAAGTTGATTGCATAGAAATTGCTCGCACATCATAATTTGTTACAGAGTTCCTCCTGGGGGAGGAGGGGGTTGGTTTCAAGTTTCCTTGAAGTTGGATATTTCAGGTAATCTGAAATATCCAAGGCAACTTGATAAGTTTGTGCTACAGTTGCAAAA